TTCCCCAAGGGCTTGGCACTCTGAGGACAGAGTTCCTTGCTACTTGGTGACTTGAATTCACTGATGTCTTCTTTTCAGCGTGTTTTCTTCCAGGCATCAGTGACACTGGTGAATCATCCCCAACTTTAGTCGGCCCAGGTTTGCCAAGCACCTGCCCTGTACAGGTGTCTCCTCTGTGTACAGTGACCAATACATCCCCTGATACCCACCCTCCTTGTTCTTCTCCCAAAGATGTCTTGTTCCCACCATGATGGTTCTTGGTGCAGAGAGGCCTGTGATGAATGTGTTTGGTCCTCTCCATTCAGGTCCAAGACCCAGGGCCAATCTCTCATTTGGAGGCCAAGGCCCCCTCAGAATGGAGAATCCTGGCCTTCTGGTCACCAATGGCCCCCACAGCAAGAGGTGGGTCCCTGCGGGAAGGGAAAAGGCCTTGAGAATGGATAAAAGAAGTAGGAGAGGGTGTGGCTTTGGATGACTTTAATGGAACATGAAGTTGGGGGAAGATGTGGTCTGGTGCTTAGGGATATGGTGCTTTGAGCCTCTTTGTCTTTGCCCTTTAGCAATCTGAAGAACCCTCACCCGGCTCTGGAGGCCCAGGGTGTCCCCTGCCTCCTGCACAGCCTGAGTGTAGCCCTCAGCGAAAGAGAGAGTCCTGCTGAACTGGGGGACAGGCGGCTTAAGCCTACTCCCTCCTGCCCTGGAGCCTGCGAGCAGAGGTAAGGGTCAGAGAGGGTAACAGAAACGGGAGCCAGGGCAAGCTGCCTTCTGTTCGCTCCCTAGTCACTCCCATTGGCAAGCCCCTCTCTGCCTCCTTCAGGTCATCCAAACAGCCCAGGGAACCCCCCAGCAGGAACCCTCAGAGGAGATCCACTGAGTCTGGCTTCTGCATGATCATGTGACCCTCCCCTGCTGGCCATAGCATGGCCCCTGCAGTACCTCCTCAACATACACACTTCAGGGGCTTCTGGGGCTGAGCCCCTTCCCAGTCATTCCCAGTGAGCACTGTATGGACACAGAATACAATGTCAGAAAGTGGGATCCGGAGCAGGCTGGACAAAGGCTTTGCAGTCTCAGCACTGAGGCAGTCTGTGTGCTCCTCGTTGGGAGTTTTGGACTCAATAAGCAAAAGAAAAATGGAAAACGGATGGTGAATTTCCCCCCTTTCCTTCTGGATTCAAACCTCACAACTGCTAAGGCCCCTGCCAGTTCTTAAAACCATGACATCTTGGTTAAGAGGCTTTGGAGTCACTGATTCCATTTTCTCACATAGAGAAATGGCGATCTAATGCTACAGAAGATACGCCTTAACCAACTAATGGATGCATTCCTCTTCCTCCAAGAAACATAGCAGATCCTGGATACAGGCCCCTCAGGCCTGTAGCAAAACTGCTACCAGCAGCTGCAACAACAGTATTATGTAACACTGATCACTTAGCACATGCCACACACTGTTCTAAGTGCTTCACAAGTGTCTTCTCCTTTAATCCTCACAGCAGATGAATCCCCTGTCACAGATGAGGAAAACAAGGCACAAAAGTTAACTGGTTTGCCACCCAGGTCACACAACTAGTAAGTGAAGCTGCGATTCAAACCTAGGCAGTGAGAAGCTTCTAGAATGCTGTGCAGTCAGTTCTACTCCCCCAGTTAAGCCATTGCTTACCGAGTTGGTTGTGTTTGATACCAAATGTGTTTATTCCAGTTGTGTTATTGTAATATGTAATTTAATTAAATTGATAAACTAAGAGTGTGAAAACAAGCAGTTTCTATGAAAACTAAATTGAATCCTTAGAAGACGTGATTCAGGTGACTCACCTTAAAAACTGCTGTTGAATTAGATGTAAGCAGAGAGACTATTACAAATTGGGGGAAAATCATAAAAATCTAGATGAATTTTGCACTCAGTTTGCTCCAAATATACAATAAATTTTTTTCCACCTTAAGGACACAGACTGCAAATTGCAGGTGATATGTAAGTGGTGAAGTTTATGAGATAAAGAAGATGGAGAACTACAATCTTTGGCCCTATCCTCAGAGACAAGACCCTGGTCACACTTTGACAGATGGCAAATGAATGGGTTTTTTTGGCCGTGCCATGCGGCTTGTGGGATCTTAGTTCCCCCACCAGGGATTGAACCCTGGCCCTCGGCAGGGAAAGCGTGGAGTCCTAACCACTGGACCGCTGGTGAATTCCCTGTATTTTTTGTTTTAAGTTGAAATAAGATCATCTACTCCCAGTCATGTCAGATAAGAGCATGTACTGTACTGTGAATTACTTCACAATGAAATTTTGAGGATGCATTAAAATATTTGTAGAGGACCTACTATGTTCCAGGCACAGAACTAGGTGCAGGGGACACAGCTGTTAATCTTCCTTATCTAAATGGAGCTTATTATCTTGTCAGGCATTCAAGATGTCTTGACTGGGATGCAGATTCACTGACTGTAACAAAAACCAATATAACATTGCCTTTAAATAGAGAAGAATGGATTTTGAGGGACAAGTAGCAGCATCTGTCACACGAGAGTATTGCTACTGGGTCAGGCCAACCCAATATCAACCATCATTGGTTCTACCATTTCATAGCTATATTATCTTAGGAAAATTACTTGACTTCTCTCTGCTACTCAATTTCTCATCTCTAACATGAGGATAAAAATACATCATAGGATGGACAGGATTAAATTAGATAATATGTGTAAAGCATCTGGAACTCATTAGGTGCTCAATCCACATGCCCTTCTTGAACTGGTTTTGAAGGCATTTCCCAAAGAAAACTCCAGAATCTGAAAGGCAGCAAGGTGGACTAGGGCACTTGGGCACTGCCTTCCTGAGGATAGCCCTCATTTGGCTGTTTCATAAATTGTGAGTGTGTGTGTCATAATTTTATAGTTACGTCTCATCAGAATGAAGTCAGCAATTGACAACCCTTTAGTTACATAGTTCTGCATTTGGAGAGGCATTTCAGCATAGAATAATGCTTAAGACTACATACCCTAGGGGCTTCCCTGGTGGCGCAGTGGTTAAGAATCCGCCTGCCAATGCAGGGGACACGGGTTTGAGCCCTGATCTGGGAAGATCCCACAGGCCTGCCGCGGAACAACTAAGTCTGTACGTCACAACTACTGAGCCTGTGCTCTAGAGCCCACGAGCCACAACTACTGAGCCCAGGCGCCACAACTACTGAAGCCTGTGCACCTAGAGCCCATGCTCTGCAACAAGAGAAGCCAATGCAATGAGAAGCCCGTGCACCGCAACGAAGAGTAGTCCCCACGCGCCGCAACTAGAGAAAGCCCACGCACAGCAACGAAGACCCAACGCAGCCAAAAATAAATAAGTTCATTAATTTAAAAAATAAATAAAAGTAAAAACACTGAAGAGCACTGCATACACAGCAGCCCTTAAAAAAAAAAGACTACATACTCTAGGTCAAGCTGCTTGGATCCTAGCTCCACTGACAGCTATCACTGTATCATTGGACATGTCATTCAACATCTTTGAGCCTCAGTTTTCTCATCTGTAAAATCGGGATAATAACAGAGTTGTGAGGATGAAATGAGATGTTTCATGTCAGCACTGGGCACATAAACTCAAAATGTTATCTATGTCAAAGAAGCATGCTTCACATTGTGTTTTAGAAATGAATCTTCAGAATTACCAAATTAATTTTCTCAAGTAGGCCTGTAGGGAGTCTTGACTAATATATAAAAGTGAAACTACTTATATACCGGTGAAGTTATAAAACAAAGTTAATGAGGTCTTGAATAAGATTATCCAATTGTAATGTAAACCCTACATTTCAATTTAGATGAGTAAACTCTATGAGTAAACCACAAACAAAGTCTAACAAAAACAATTTTCCACCTCAATCACAGTCTGATACATTCAATTTCCCACAACAAACATGTAAAACAAACATAGATGAAGGCGAAGGGTACAACCCATAGGAGATGTTAAACCTCTTATAATTAAAAAGGAGACTATCAGAGGAGTAGTTAAAAGCAGGAGGGGTTCTTGTTTTCTCAGTGAACTAGCCGGGAATGGAATTCACGATACAGAAAAAGAATATACTAGCATAAAAACAAGACCTTCAATCCTGTAATAAACCATAAAGGAAAACGGAAAAAAACAAACAAACACAAAAACCCAAGACCTTCATTCCACCTGGATAATTATCTTTATCTTAATGCCTTAATGTAACTGGTCTGTTATTCCCCATACTTCTCTCTTAACCCGGCAGGAGTGTGCTTGCATTCTTAAAAGCTCTTGGGTTACAAGTTTAGTCTTCCTCTCTAGGTTTTTCTTGAAATATTACCGTGACCTGGAGTCTAGGGTTTCAACTACATTTTTAATCTTGGCATACTCAACCTATTTAAGGTTTATAATTTTCTATTTCCACAGCTATTACCCGATGAAGAGGGATAAGTATTATGTATGATCAGGGAAGTACAGCGTGCTCTCCTGGTAAACAGAGATAGGGGAAGCTAATTTGGTGGGGAGAGGGGTACTAAGTTATATGAAATGCTTAGCAGTGTGAATAAGAACATTAATTTATTGAGCCCTATGTACCAGGCGCTGTCGACGACTTTGCATGGATTACCACCAGATGAAGTATGTACTCGTATCCCCATTTTATAGACAGGAGACTGAAACCTGGAGAGCCAAGTTCACTCAGCCACTAAGTGGTAGGGGAGGAACCCGGGCTAACTGCTATGCTATACAGCTTCCTGAAAGAGCTACGAAAAACAAGAATTATTATCAAAGGGCGGTTGGAAGCAAAGCACTTCGGGTCATCTGTGAGGCAATATGAAAATGCTCCCGCGAAGGGCTGGCATCTAGACAAGGCGCCCGGACGAGGTGGGGCCGGGGCGGGAGGGCGCTGTCGCGCATACCAACACACGGAGGAGCAGTGGAGTCCCACTACCGGTCCCGCCAGCCCCAGGACCACCTCCTTCAGGGGCGCGCGCGGCCCCGGCCTCTCGGGGGCGGGACGAGGGGCCGCGCATGCGCCGGGCGCGGCGGGGCGAGGCGGGGTGGGGCCGCGCGCTCTGAGAGCTGAATGTCCGGGCTGCGGGCGCTCCTGGGGCTCGGGCTGCTGGTTGCGGGCCCGCGCCTATCGTTCCTCAGAGTCCAGGCAGGCGCCTGTCGCGCGGGAGCCACCTGGTGGGGGCCGCAGCGGCTGATCTCGGGTGGCCGCGGGGACTCAGAGGTCATGGCGAGCTCAGCAGTGAAGTACCTGAGGTTGGACGGGCACGTGCTCTCTGGGCGGGCACGCTGGGAGCGGGACTTGGGTGGAAGCCCACCCCCCCCAGGGGCGGGACCTGGGCCGCGCCGCCTGCGCGACGGAACACCTGAGGGAAGGGGACTCAGGCTGTGGGTTTCCTCAGCCAGGAGGAGGCCCAGGCCGTGGACCAGGAGCTGTTTAACGAGTACCAGTTCAGCGTGGACCAACTTATGGAGCTGGCCGGGCTGAGCTGTGCCACAGCCATTGCCAAGGTCAGTGGCACAACTCTCCACCTAAGGGGCAGTCACTGCGCAAGCCACCTGGCCTAGGCACAATGAAGTGGGAGGGACGGCCAGGCCGAGACTGGGCTGTCACTGCCCGAAGCCCTTCTGAATCCCCTTTGACTCTGCCTTCAGGCATATCCCCCCACGTCCTTGTCCAGGAGCCCCCCTACTGTCCTGGTCATCTGTGGCCCCGGGAATAATGGAGGAGATGGCCTGGTCTGTGCTCGACACCTCAAACTCTTTGTGAGTATGTGGGGAAGGGCTGTCGGGGAGAGTATGAGGTTTCCAGGACCTGGGCTTGAATCACCCCTTTCCTTTCCTCATAGGGCTACCAGCCAACCATCTATTATCCTAAAAGGCCTAACAAGCCACTCTTCACTGCACTGGTGACCCAGTGCCAGAAAATGGACATCCCTTTCCTTGGTGAAATGCCCCCAGAGGTAGGTGGTTCCGGTACTGCCCTCCTCAGTACTGCTGCCCGTGTTCTGCTCTTCCCTCACCTTTCCAGACTGAGCTCATTTGCTTATCTTCCTCTCTAGAGGATTAACTCTTAGAGGGCAGGGATAGCGCCTGACACAGAAGATGCCTAAAGCATGCTATCTGAATGGAAGTGGTGTAAGAGCCTTCTCCATAAGGCGTGCTCCATGAGTTCCCAACACTACCTTCTCTTCAGCTTCATTTCCCCTTGTCACTTTTTTTTTAATTAATTAATTCATTCATTTATTTTTGGCTGCATTGGGTCTTCGTTGTTGTGCGCGGGCGCTCTCTAGTTGCGGCGAGCGGGGGCAACTCTGTGTTGCAGTGCGCGGGCTTCCCGTTGCAGAGCACGGGTTCTAGGCGCGCGGGCTTCAGTGGTTGTGGCTCGTGGACTCTAGAGCGCAGGCTCAGTAGTTGTGGGGCACGGGCTTAGTTGCTCCACGGCATGTGGGATCTTCCCGGACCAGGGCTCGAACCCGTGTCCCCTGCATTGGCAGGCGGATTCTTAACCACTGCGCCACCAGGGAAGCCCCACTCCTGTAACTCTGCAGCCAGGTCCTCTTCGCCTAGCTTGCAGTAAACACATCATGTGCATCCCTTGGGAGCTGAGGTGACTGCCTCATCCTAAACCCTTTCTTCAGATGCTTCAGATCTTGGATTTAGGAGTGGAAAACTTGAGAACTTCTTTTTAAAATTCCTTAACACATTTTACAGATGAAGAGACTGAGATGCAAGAGAAGGGAAGTGATTTGTGCAAAGTCACAGAACCAGATCATGGCACAGCCAAGACCAGAACCTGTCCCTCCATACTCCAAGTCTCAGGCTGTCCTACACTGTAGCCTCCCCAATGGTTGGCAGGCACTCAGAACAGAAAATGTGCCTGGACTCAGCTTGGCCTCAATCAGTGACCCACTTGCACTTAACTCTAGGCTTCAGAATGCCATCTGAACGAGATAAAATTATATTTGTGCCTATGTGAATGGTCTGTGGGTACAAAGGACAGCCCTCTCCTGTTAAGGGTTCTTTGTGCAGCTGCCGGCTCTGACATCCTTTCCTTTTTCTGCTCTACCACAGGCCACGCTGATTGATGAACTATACGAGCTGGTGGTGGATGCCATCTTTGGCTTCAGCTTCAAGGGTGATGTTCGGGAGCCATTCCGCAGCATCCTGAGTGTCCTGAATGGACTCACTGTGCCCATTGCCAGCATCGACATTCCCTCAGGTGCTGGGTCCAAGGAGGTTGGGGGGGATTGGGGCCCTGCCCTGCCTCGAGGTAGGTACTAGGAGTCCTGGTTCTTGACTCAAGGTTCAGACCAAGTGTAGAGGTGCATACCACAGCCAGAGTAGGGCTGGGGAGCAAAGTTCAGGAATGCCCTTTACAGTGACTGTCAGAGACCACAGCCCAGGAGTACATGGACACGATTTCCTCAGGTGGGGACCCAGGGGGCTTCCCACTCTTTTAGGACTAGAGTAGAGCAAGGTGTGCAAGGGGACTGGACATCTGGTCTTTTCCGCTCTTTCTGAATACCACCTTCTTTTCAGGATGGGATGTGGAGAAGGGGAACTCTGGAGGGATCCAGCCAGACTTGCTCATCTCCCTGACAGCACCCAAAAAGTCTGCAAGCCAGTTTACTGGTCGCTACCACTACCTGGGGGGTCGTTTCGTGCCTCCTGCTCTGGAAAAGAAGTACCAGCTGAACCTGCCACCCTACCCTGACACCGAGTGTGTCTATCGTCTGCAGTGAGGGAAGGCGGGCGGGCATTCTTCCCAATAGATTTAGTTCCTCTCTCCCAGAACTGTGGAGTCCTGGGAGCTCTTCTGGCAATAAAGGTTAAGAGATGGCAGGAGCCAGAGAGCAACACTGGAGATGTGGTGCCCTCTCTCTGGGGGAACAATATGCAAGAGGGGTTGCTATGACATTTGGGGGCAATGACAATTCACTTTCAGATGCTAAAAAAGGCTCCCAAGTGAGGTGTGCTGTCCTTTACACACACACACAATTCTTATCAGGGATGCAGACAGGGAGCTGGGTGAGGTTCTCTGAACTTTCTCCTTCCACTTAACAGCACAGCAAGACTACAGGAAGTTAACAGAAGGAATTTCTTCAGAGGCCTCCAAGGAAACTAACTTGTATTCAGGACCTTCTCAGGCTGAGAATGGAGATGATGGTCAGGACTTATATATAGGCTTGGAGACCAAACTGATGTTTATTCAATTTGGTATAGTTAGAAACTGGCAACCTATGGGCTGAATTTGCATGTCTTTCTTAGCCTTCACAAAATTAAAAAATCAGTACATTTCCCATAAGTCTACATTTTCAACTTCTTTTAGCCAAGATGCCCCTTCAGAGGCTGTCTGCATTCCCGTTCCCATAGCCCCCAGCATCCTTGTCCCTTAGCTGCCCGGGCCTTGCAGGTGCAGGTTCAGCTATCTCTGGGTTAGATGCTGTAAGGGGGACTGTGCCTGCTCCCTCAAGTCAGACACGGCACTACCGCTCTCCTCTCAGCGGACTACTGTTCCAGAGCTGTTTCCTCCTTGGAAGGGACTCCTCACTGAGAGGGTACACAAGACCTGTACCAACTCAGGTCCCTGAGGCTTCAACTCCTGAAGAGGAATCGATCGGGCTGCATCTTGACCTGGCCTTCAGTTTCTCTTCTTTTGTTTCTTCTTTTTTGCTCTCTGGTCAGTGTGGACTCCAGGTCTTTCCTCCTCTGGTTGCTTCTGCCTCTTCTTACCTTTGCCACTTGAGCCCGTGTATGCCTTGCTCTCTGCTGTCCTAGCCCTGCCACCTTCCTCCTCCCCTTCATCCCCTACATGCAAGACGTCCTCCTCCTCCTGATGCCGCTGTCTTTTCTTCTTGCTTCTCCTACTTTTCCGATCACTGCATGATCTGCTTTCTGCTTCTCTGGTACCACCATCTACAACAGCCTCCTCCATGTTCAAGTCTTCTTCCTCACGCTGCCTCCTCTTCTTCTTCCTTTTCCTGAGGGACTGATCAGTTTGTTCTCTGTTTTTCAATTCCCCAAGCCCACTTGTTCCTGTGGTCTCTTCTTCCTCATGCCTTACAGCTGTTCCCTCTCTCTCATCTGTGACACTTTCTTCTTGATGCCGCCTTTTCTTCTTCTTGCTTTTCCTGACACTCTGGTCAGTGTGTTCTGGGTACTCTTCTGCATTCCTTTCAGTTGCCGTGGCCTCTTCCTCCTCTTTCTGCTTCCTTTTCTTTTTCTTTTTTTGTGGGGGCTTGCTCTCAGACTGCAGTTGAGGGACCCCAGGGTCCTGGCCTTTGAGACGAGCCAGGAAGGCCTGCTCCTGGGCCTCTAACCGCGCAAGCTTAGCCTTCATCGTGATCCCAAGACGGGCAGCCCTGAAATAGATGGGGCCCAAGTCAGAGGGAGGGTATTGGGGAAAATAGGCCTAATCTCTGAGACTGCAGGGAAAGTTCGTAAGGGAGGAGCTGCTAGTCTTCAGGCAGCTTCAGAAATGGGCAGAGAATAGGAATCACTTTCTCTGGGGTGAAAAGAGTGGCACAGGGGTGGGCTTGTGATGGGGAGAAAAGAAGGGAGCCCAAGAAGCTAACCGCTACTTACTTGTGTGCTGTTCGCCCCTCACAGGCTTGGAGCATCATCTCATCAGTCAGACTGTTGGGGAAGGGCAGGAATCAGGAGTTACAAACAGATCTGGTGGAAAGGCTTGACCTCTCCTCCCCTCTAAAACATTCCTTCAGCACTGAGTTCCTATTCAGGACCTGGCACTTTTCTAGGTGTAGGGGATACAAAGATGAGTACAACACATTTCCACCCTGATGAAGCCCACAGTCAAGCATTACACTTGGTCCTTTCTTTTGAGATTGGAAGGCATCTCCTCCCACATGCCCCTGGCACTAAAAAGAAGTCTCACATCTTTGGAGGCTTGGACCCCTGGCTGTCGTCATCACTGCAGCTTTCCAAGTCCTTGTCTGGCTTCTCCCCACTTGAAGTCAGTGTGGCCGTCTAGAAGGAGGAATCATGGGGGTGGGCAAGGCCCACTCAGCACCACCACCATTGCTCTTCCCTCCTGGAAAGGGAAGAGCAGTGGTGCCACTGCCACCCTGAACAGCCACTGGCACAAATCTGTCAGCCCCCAACATCGCTCCTTGCAGCCCCACACGAGATGTGCCAAACTGCATACATCAACTTGGGCAGGAGGTGGGCTGCAGTTGGGGGCGGGTGGGGTGGGGGCAGTCCTGGCCTCCCTGGCTCACAGCCAGCTAGTGGGCAGAACAGGAAGGGAGGAAGAAGTGCTCTGGGTCATCAGGTCTTCACAGTGGGACGAGTGCCCCCTGGCGGTCATCCCATGGTGCCAGTAATGTACAATAAAGATGCTACTTTTCATGCCCCCTCCCCCTATACCTATGCACAGTACTTTAACCAGGTTAAGAACCTACTTTGGGCTAAGAGGTTGGGGATAGAGTGGAATAAGGACGAGATGGTTCCAGCCCAGATGGAATCTACATGGTTGAGGGGTAAAGGAATATGGCAGAACATAGAAAATGATGATGAAAGTGTTGTCTGTGCTAGAGGAAGGGTACCCTACTCAGGCTTCAGGGTTTGGGGAATAGTTTCTACAAGGAGCTGAGCCCTGGAAGACAAGAAAAAGGTCAGCAGGTAAAGGGGCAAAGGAAGCAGAATGTCCCAGGCAGAGGGAATAGCATGTGCACAAACTTGAAAGTGAAAAAACATGGTACCTTGAAAAGATTCAGATTCCATCTGGCTAAAGTGTAGAGGTCCTGAGAGGTGGCGAGAGACAGGCTAAGAAAGAAGGCAGGGACAAGGCATGAAGGGCCACGTGAGCCAGTCTGACACATCTGGACCGTGTCATCCGAGGTCAAGGAGGAGCCAGTGACAGAATGAAATGTGTGTTTTTCAGAGAACACGGGATCCTTTGTGGAGGATGAACTAATCGTGGTGGGGACTGAGACTAGAGTGAGGGGTCTAGTTATGAGGCTGTGAAAGAAATGAGGCAGGAGAGGGTGATGGTCTGAACTGGGGCAGAAGACGGCCACAGAGATGAATGGGAAGGATTTGCTAGATAATACATAGAGCCCTTAAGGACATAATAGAGGATCGTTAAACGTTAGCTCCCTTCTATTGGCGGGCTAGAAAAGGGGAGTCTGAACACCTGGGTTCTAGTCCTGTCTGCCATTACTAGCCAACTGTGGGCTCTTCAGCGAGCCACTTTCCCCCCTTTTGGCCACATCTGCAAAATAAGGACAATGGGTCAGATGATCCCGCAGGTCTCCTCTGACTTTTAAGTCCTCTGAATTAGACATCCCCTCCCTGCCCTGCTCTGACAGCTCCTGACTGTGCCCCACCCCCCACTCCCCGTTGCTGCCCCCTCAGCAGATGGCAGGGATCCATTCAACCTGAAGATTTCAATTCTTGCTGAGGGTCTGGGCAGTCTAGCTAAGCAACAGCGAGGTTGGTCACAGGATCCCACTGCTAGGACAGTCCTGAGAATAGGTAGGGCATACAAGGCAATTGTTCAGGCCCCAGGGGAGACCAGGGAAGGAAAAAAGGATGGGCCCTCTCACCCCCAGCCTCTAATACCTTCACAAACTTCTGATACAGCAAGTTGGGCTTGGAAGGATCATGACGGGTGGTCTCCTTAGACAGGCACCTTATCTGTACGCCATCCTGTGGGGGAGTATCCGTGAGCGGGTGACATGCCATGTCTCCCTCACCCCCACATGTCCCAGGCCTTCATGGTTCATGTGCCTACTATTAGAGCTTATACCTGCCCAGTTTTCACTACCAAGCTGGCCGCAGTCTTATTGAAGAGATCATTCCACCAGTAGTTTGTGAACTCTTTGGCAGGGTCGTGTCCCACCTGCCAGAGGAAGAAGTGTGAACTCGGGACCCATCATTCCCCTTCCTCCCCCTATCCTCAAGGCCCTCCTCTCCCATCCACACTGACCTCCCTCAGCCTGCCCAGTCTTACCCCATGAGTGTCCTGCTTCAGCGTTACCCTGAGGGCCTGGGTGATGCCATTCTCCTTCCGGCCCAGGCCTTTGCCTGCAAACACAGTGAATGATTTGGCTTATTCCACTTCTGCCCCAAGCCCTCACAAGGCACACCCAGCACATGCCACTCCTTGCCATTCCACATACCTAACTTTGGGCATGCTCCGTCCATCTTGGAAGCCCTCCCAGTTGCACTCTTTCTAGCACCTCTCCATGCAGTCCTCCCATCTTTGAGCCCAAACTATCTTTCCTTCATAATTCTCTCAGGACACAAGTCGTGTCTCTTCCTCCCCCTCCCAGTCCTCCGAACCACTTCTTTCTCACTATCCACCATCATATTTCTTCCCTTCTTCCCTTTTCTGGAAATGTCAGCAATTTTCTTCTGCAAATTTCCCTTTAAACTAACTTTCCTCCTTCAGTTGAATGGACTACATAGGGGTTAATCCAGGATGATGCCTCTTCCCTGGGCAGAGGGTAGTGAGGGAGTTGGGGAGATGTGAAAAGGGCCCCATGGGAATCACCTCGAGTCCACCCATGCTTTAGCAGCTGCTCCTCAGCAAACTTCATCCCACGACTCTTGACCTCTGGGGTGACGCTCATGGTGAGAAAAGAGTCACTGTCCTCAGGCCCTCACCAGAGAAGAGAAGGGGTCACTATCTTCCCTTTAAGAGGAAAAAAAAGAACGTGCCCAAATCATCCATCAAATCCATCCTGACTGCTCTTGTAAGAATTCTTTCCTGAAGCTGGAGCAGAGACAGAGGAAAGAGGCCTGGTGCTTGGGGAGCTCCCTGTCCGACCACTGAGAGGTCAATGTCAACATGCTGAAGGCCAAGGAAACCTGGTATTAATAATAACACCCAAATGTATGGAGAACTCCCTACATGCCAGGCTGTGCTAAGATTTTACATGGATCATTTTGCGTACTCTTCCCAGCCCGGGAAGATTTCCTGAA